TTGAATACCATTCATTATACCCCACGCGACGAGTTGCGGAGGGTATAATGTTTTTGACACGTCCGTCTGTCCATCAGTCAGTCCGTCAGTCCTATTTCCTGTCATCGCAACTCCTCTCAAACCACACAACAGAATTTCACGAAACCTTTTTAGATAATAAGGACATACTATATAGTTGTGCATATCGACAGGAAATTATGATTCTTTTTTTTTTCTAGGAGTTACGCCCCTTTGAACTTATTTACTTTAATGTACTACTGCAAAAGTTTGTCATCGCAATTCCTCTCAAACCACACAACAGAATTTCATGAAACCTTTCAGATAATAAGGACATACTACGTAGATGTGCATATCGACAGGAAATTACGATTCAATTTTTTTTCCAGGAGTTACGCCCCTTTGAACTTATTTGCCCAATATACTACTGCAACCTTTTGTCATCGCAACTCCTCTCAAACCACACAACAGAATTTCATGAAACCTTTTCAGATAATAAGGACATACTACGTAGATGTGCATATCAACAGGAAATTAAGATTCAATTTTTTTTCCAGGAGTTACGCCCCTTTGAACTTATTTGCCCAATATACTACTGCAACCTTTTGTCATCTCAACTCCTCTCAAACCACACAACAGAATTTCATGAAACCTTTTCAGATAATAAGGACATACTACGTAGATGTGCATATCGACAGGAAATTACGATTCAATTTTTTTTTCCAGGAGTTACGCCCCTTTGAACTTATTTGCCCAATATACTACTGCAACCTTTTGTCATCTCAACTCCTCTCAAACCACACAACAGAATTTCATGAAACTGTGTAGATAAAAAGGACATACTATGTAGATGTGCATATTGACAGGAAATTATGATTCAATTTTTTTTTCTGATACAATTTTTTTTCTTACACTTATTTTATTTCTCCAATGACAATGTGGGGACGTGGGGTATGTGAGCGCACTCACTAAGGTTCTTTCATTATTAATTGAAATGTTTAATATTCATGTATATATGTATGAAAAATGAGGGTTTTTTAATAAAAATTTCACAGTTCAGTCACTGAACATGGAAATGTGCTGGTGCCAGCTTGGCATGGTGTCCTTTGGACACATAATGTATTCTTACTTAGAGATCACTTGGTCAACTACACTATATTTTGTTTCTAAAATTCACACTTTTTATACGCCTGTTTATGGGAAGTATTATGGTATACCGTTGTCCGTCCGTCTGTCCGTTCGTCGTCAACATGTGAGACAATAACTCAAAAACGCTTTAACCAATTTGCATGAAACTTTAGTGAATTGTTTATATCTATTGATGTGAGCTCCTTTTCATTTTTATAAATTTTAGATTTTAGATTTTACGTTTCCGAGTTATGGGGTTTTATTCAATAAAAAAAGGGGCTTTTTCCAGTTTTCGGACAAAAACTCAAAAAAGCTTTCACCAATTTGCAAGAAACTTTGGTGAATTGTTTATGTCTATTGACATGAGCTTTCGATTTTTATAAATTTTAGATCTTACATTTCCAAGTTATGGGGTTTTATTTATTTACAAAAGGGTGATTGTCCAGTTTTCGGACAATAACTCAAAACTGCTTTCAGCAGTTTTCATGAAACTTTGGTGAATTGTTGTTATCTATTGACGTAAGATCCCTTTAGATTATTATAAATTTTAGATTTTATGTTTCCGAGTTACATGTATGGGATTTTATTCATAAAAAAAGGGGTGACTTCCCAGTTTTAGGACAATATCTTTAAAGTGCTTTGAGGAGTTTTCATGAAACTTTGGTGACTGGTTTATATCTATTAAGGTAACCTCCTTTTAGTTTTTCATAAATTTCTGATATGACATTGAGAAGTGATTGAACTTTATTCTTTTAAAAAGCGACGGGCGTATCATGCGCTCATGGGGCAGCTGTTTATTTACAAAATGCTCTATTACTGTTTATACTGGATAAATTCTTTTTTTCAGAAAAACAGCAACATCCTTTATGGGGTAATAGCTTGTACTGCCGTTTTATGTGTTGGTCTCTGGTGGATTACAATGAACTCCACATCAACAGATGTAACTGGTTCCACACCTCAGGCACTGGTATGTATCTCTTTATATTATTGTAACATGAATGGTAATTTTTCCTTTGATCTTCAAGTGAGTTAACTTCGGTTATTTTTAGAGGAGTGCATTAACTGAATGATTTTTTAGTTATTGCACTCTCCAATCCCGCCGTTGACCACATCTCGTTGGAATAGCAAAGAATGGGAGGAGCTTAAACCAGTGCTCTAACTTCCATCTCAGAAGTTGTTAATGCACAGTCTGGCTCCGCCTCCTTCGAGAAGTAAATAATGAAAGAATAAAACAAAATGTAATAGAAATGACTTTACATTTTCCTACTGTTATTTTGGTTGGAAACCTGTTTTTATCTTGTTCAAATTAATAACATTCTAAAAAAATATATGCCACTGGATCTTTAGTGATTTTCTTTATTTTATAAAGGTCTATCTCGGTGAATAGATCATGCTTCAAATATTTGTCCCTGGACCTTACTCGCAATCAAAAACCATTCCAATCAATTAAATGATCTTTCTACAGTTGTTGGGAATGGAAAAATAGTATAAATTACTTTCATATATTGGTATTGGAAAATGTTTTCTTCTTATGACAACATTAAAACTCCTTTGAAACTACACGTTCTTTTCGGGTTTGAAGGCAGATAAACATCGAATAAAATTTTGCATCTATCCCCCCCCCCCTCAAGAATTTTCGAGTCTGAATCCATTTAAATGTACCTGTATCTGAAATACAAATCGAGTCTGAATCCATTTAAATGTACCTGTATCTGAAAAATCCAATTGTCATCTGCTGCATGTGTTAATTTTCTGAAAATCATATATAGTATCATGCTACGTTTTGATTGACATATTGAAAAGTACAGTAAAGTTTTATAGATCAGCATTTAACCTTTGACATGTGTCATAGCCCATTAATGTTACAAATCATATACAGCCAGGCCCTACTCATTAACATATTTAATCCACTCAAAGCTGAGCTTTTCGTGAATTAAATACGTTAATTCGTAAAAGGCATGCTATATATATAACATAATGGACAGGTGCAGATTACTGATTCTTATTAGTGGTAGTACTGGTATCCAAAATTTGTACCAAGCTAAGCTTAGTTGGAAATGTATATATTTGAATTTTTAAAATTTTTTGTCTTGTCTGGTAAAAATTACTATAGGTGTTACCATTTTGAAAACAAAGATTTACCTGTAATGCTTTATTTTCTGATAAACCCCTATATGATAAACTTTTTGATTCTTTGATAAAAATTACTTTTGGGGTTTTACTTGTAAGGTTGCTGTCTCATTGCTATGTTACACTTATATCTGAGGAGTCTCAGGTTTTTATGCCCCCACCGTAGCGGAGGAGGCATTAAGTTTTACCCTTGTCCGTCTGTACGTCCCAAAATTGGTTTCCGTTCTCTAGCTAGCTTTAGTTTACCTCAACCAAATGTTATGAAACTTATACACAATGCTAATTACCACAAAACACAGATCAAGTTTGAATTTTGGTGGCGTCACTTTTACCGTTCTAGAGTTATGCTCCTTTACAAATGGAAAAATTGCAATTTTTCGTTTCTGTTCTCTAACTTTAGTTTACCTCAAACAAAGGATATGAAACTGATGTGCAAAGCTTATTACCACAAAACTCAGATCAAGTACAAATTTGGGTAGTGTCACTTTTACTGTTCTTGAGTTATGTCCCTTTATAACGTTATATGCAAGCGGTGGCATCATCTGTGTCCCATGGACACATTCCCCATTTATTTTTTCATGATTCAAGTAAATTGTCACCTATGTTTTTAAAAATTTGAAAGAGTTTGCACCCTTATGGCAGCTGAGGGTACATTTGTGATATTACTAATATTAGGTGGTAGTTTTTGCTGAAAAGTATTTTATTAAGAGGAATATAACAAAACAATTTACAGTGCCAAAAGGAGTGTTATTCGAGGCCACATTATGATGCATGGGGAAATCCCTGCAAGCAATAGTTTTTGTGTCTAGCATGTCTAGCATGTCTATAGTATTTCCAGATAGGAACAATTTCTTTGTTTACAAATATATACATGTAATCTAATCTTTAAGCTGGTGACCTGATTAATGACTTAAAAACATTACAGATAACAATAGTCCAATGACTTACACATTTACTTTTTGACCTTACACATTTACTGTTTGACCTTAAACATAAACTTTTTGACCTTACACATTTACTTTTTGACCTTAAACATAAACTTTTTGACCTTACACATTTACTTTTTGACCAGGTTACACATAAACTTTTTGACCTTACACATTTACTTTTTGACCAGGTTACACATAAACTTTTTGACTTTACACATTTAAATTTAATGCATCACTCATTTGAAAGAAATGGATCTTTTTATGACAGAGTATACTGTAAATTCAGAAATTATTGCATGCATTTATTATTGCAATTTTTGAAGACTGAACAAAAAAGCGAGTTAATTATATCGATTTCAGGAAAAGCTTCATGCATAACATATATGTGTCAGATATCAGAATGTAAGTTCATATTATTGAGATATTCACCCAGTCACATTATTCACATTAATAAAAACCTCACAATAATTTCTTAGTTTACAGTAATCATGATAATAATTGGGAAATGTGTCAAAGTGAGATGTATATGTTAGAGGAAACAGTAAACAAAAACTCAGAACATAGAAAATGAGTTTAGCTCATAGTTAAAGGCTACAGTTGCTACATCTACATCATTCGAACAGTTGTCTGAGCTTGTCTCAAGCATCGGCAGTCATCTGATCATACCACATCTCATTTATTTTGATATTAAAAACACATTTGCCTTCAGCAATGAACAAGCAACTTTTAAACATTCCAGATTATATAATCAAAAAATAAACATTTGACATATTTATAACAAAAGTGTATACAACTTGTGTACTCAGACATCACCATGTGACAGTTGTGTTACCTTTAATGTCAGGAAGTTCAGACATGAAACAATGACAAATGAAATTTGACAACTAAATTTGATCTTGTTTGGATTTACCTGTCTCTGATAATACATGGGAATACCAACATCTGGTTGGAATAAGTGGTCTAAACATGATGGACTGGATCTAAAACTATTCACAAATATTCATTGCTGAATTACGGATTAATAGTACCTTACTGATGGTGTTTTCTCTACTTGATTGATTCTAAATATAGATTTGGCTCCTCAATCAACAGGTAAGACAAATGTGCTGAACATATTCAGGATTTTTCATAAAAATAAAATACAGAGATTTGAACTACAATCTTTTTATACCCCACAACCCATAATATCTTATTTCCATTTGAATAAGTATTTTTTTTTTTGCTTCCACTTCTAATGCATACAGAAAAATAATTTCCTTGAATAGCCCTTAACAAGAATTATAAATTAGAAAGTTTAAAAGATTGAGACAGTAGTACTGAATCTTAAGGCTTTGTAAACATGGTAAGAGGACCAAGCTGTCAAATATCCATGTCTTATCTAGGTACAAATGTACAAAAATGTATGCTTAAAGTATATGTGTTTACAGTATAGGTAATTTATATCTAAATAATGCTTTGTCTGAGAGAAAAATAGGGGATTCTATGTTGAATTTTCAATTGAAAAGATAAGATATTTTCACCAGGAAATTTTCAAAATTTGAAATATAGTCTTATCTCCTTGATAGTTTTATAGAAACAAAATAATATTGAACATAATGCATGTAGAAACTAGTTTTAACCAGCCACTTTCTAAGTCAGGAGCCTGTAATTCAGTGGTTGTCAATTATTGCTGTATATCATTTTTTTTTTTCATTGTTTTGTACTAAATCAGGCCTTTAGTTTTCTTGTTTTGCAGTTTTGCTCATTGTTGAAGGCCAGATGGTGACCTATAGTTGTTAACTTCTATGTCATTTGGTCTCTGGTGGAGAGTTATCACATTTGCAATCATACCACATCTTCTTATTTTTTATTTATACAATATTACATTTAATTTTTTATAAGATTAATTTATTTTATTTTCATGAGCAAAATACAATTCTGTCTTTTTAAAAAAATATCAATGCAAAATGTCTTACATCTTACATTAGAATGAAATAATGCTTGACTGAATTGCTTCATTTACACTTTACAAGTTTTGATTTAGGTAGCATCGTTTTTTTTTAATCTTCCCTATGCCATATATATACATATATCTTTATGTCTCTGAGACAGTAAAAATGCTTGAACGGGACTGAATAACTTTAACCTCGAAGTCAAGTTTGACCCAACGTTGATAAGTTGGAACTGAATTTATCAAGTTTTCATCCAGCTTGCTGGCAAAGCAAAGAAAAAATATTCATTCTGGATCATGAAAAATACAAGTACTATTCCATGTATTCATAAATCTATTACAAATGTATCAGATTTTCATTAAATTGATATGTAAAATATCAGCTGCCAAATTTGAGAACTTGTTCATTGCGTTGACTCAATAAAAAGCTTCATATGCATCTGATATCTTACAATATGCAGAAAAACTGACAACAAATGCTTATCCTGTAACTGTGCTATTTTTGCAGTTAAAATGCATTTACCGCATAAACTTTAGCTTTACGAGGGTAGAAATGAGGTACCTCACATGAGGAATGACGGTAAAATATTTGTTAAAAAAACGTGAATGATAAATGTTTTACTCCATTTGAGGCTAATGGTAGCTACAAAATGAGATTTGACGAATGACCTTAAATAAATTAAGGCTCATTTGACGCTAATGGTGGCGAAAAAAGGACCTCTGAAGCTTGACGATAAAGGGCGTTTCTACCCTCCTTTATACACTGACTGTTAGATATATGAAGATAGATAGAATGTTTATTCCCAAAAAACCCTTCAAGAACAAAGGTTACTGAAGAGTTTAGACAAAAAATAAACATACATAAAAATAAACATGCATAAAAATGACTGTTAGTGACTTTGATAATATGTTTCCCTAAAGAGCCTCAGGTCTATGACAATAATTGTGAAAAGAATGCAGGTTCACACATATTTGAAGTCTTCCACATAAAATTCATACTTGTTGGTATATATTTACCTAGATTATTTCATTTGAAACATTTTAAGAGTTGTAGTATAAAGATAACAACAAAGCACTAAGAATGTCTCCAATATAAAATTTATTTGAACATGATTATAGAAATGCTCAGCATGGCCTCACATTATACTGGTTTCTTAGTAAAGCCTTGAACAATGAATGATGAATAACAGTACATTATAGGTGTAAACTTAAACAACTTAATAAAATGAAGATGTGGATACATGTATATGAGACAGCAAGTCAAGAACAATACCAAAACCATGTGCAATGAAGTTTTATATAAAAAAAAAACACTGTATAATATTATTGAAGAGAGTCTTAATGGAATTTTGGTTTCTGTATTCTTTAACTTTTAAGACAATTTTTCTCGGAATCTCCATTCTTTTTTTTTTAACCATTACTAAAAATATTCTTGATAATTTAGCAATATTTTTTTATGTTTGACTCATTTTCTCTGTCTGTTATTTTTTTTACCCATTAATACATTATACTCTATTAATTTTTTAAAGTGGGTCTCATTGGGGTCTAAGCGTGACGCGGCATTGGTTGATTTTTTTTAAGCATGACACATGAAAGTCAACTTATTTTGCATGAAAACGGGAAACGAAGTTGGGCAGGACACGTGAAATTACAAGCGCTATTATTACAATGATAAGCGGGATCCGGGATCAGACCCCCTTTAAACCCTATATATATTATATATATCCAGATTCTCATTGAACATGTTTGTTGAAGATATATGTTGTTAAAAATGCTTCACAGTTAGTTACATGTTGCACCTCCATTTCTTAGTGAAAAATGTGTTTAAGCCCTTGAAAATGACATGAACCAGACACTTAAATGAATAATTAGGTCATTGTCTGGTAACTTAAGATTTGTATGATGCAAGTTGATGAATAGGTGATGATCATTAATCTTGAAATATTTTTCAATTTTTTGGTCTCTTTTGTGATTTGAAATAAAATCATTTCACTGAAATATAAAAGATTTTATTGTTAGTAAGGGAGCTACCATTTGATTTTTATGGGGGGGGGGGGGGCTATGATGAAAAATTTTGTCCTGCTTATTTTTTTAGTTGTAATCTCTGTCCTGCCTTTTTATTTTTTACTCTATTCGGTCCTGCCTTTTTTTTTACTAGTTTATCCTGAATATTTTTGCACAAATTGTCATCCTGCCTTTTTTTTTTTACCAAGTTGCTCATCCTGCCTTTTTTTTTACTCAAAACTCCTGTCCTGCCTATTTGTTTCAAATTTCATCCTAGCCCCCCCATAAAAATCAAATGGTAGCTCCCTAAGACAGTTAGATAAATGTGTGACATGACAAAACCTCTTTAAATCTATAAATAGAACAAAAGTGTAAATATTATGTGAAGTTTAAAGGTCAAGTACTTTTGTTTGTCAACACTGAATTGTTTGATAATAAAGAAATCACCTGATTTGTCATCAGCTTGAGATCATGTTATCAATTATCATGAGAAAGCATGTTTCCGGGAAAGGAAATACTTGAACTGTCATTGGAAATATATATTTACATGTACAAGAATAAACGTAAGTTTTAAAATGTTTTTTGTTATGTCTAATCAATACAATAGATAAAGTTTCCCCTACAAATATGGGTTTATTTTTTTTTTTGAGGGGGGGGGGGGGGGGTGCATTTTGAAGGAGGCTCAGGCTCCCTGTTTATGAAAAAAATAAGCTTTATGAAATGTGAAAATTTGAAAATAATAAATATATATATACATTTCACTTTCTCTTATGAAAATGTATCCTCTTTTAAGAATTCTGGATTTGCCTTTAAATGGGTTATTTTTATGATTGTGTATTGTTATTTTGAAAAAGTTTCCACTATAGTTTTCAAAACTGTTTTAGACCCTAGGATGAAATTCTTTACATTTTTACATTGCTGGAAGGAGGGGTATAGGCTATAGACTCGTACTGATTCAATAAGACAAATGATAATGGAATTGTGAGATCTAAACTAAAAGTGAAAAAATACCAGAGCGGGGATAAAAAATTCTAAGCCAATAAACTCAACATAGATACCAGGATTAAAATTTTGTATGCCAGATAAGCATTTCGTCTACAAAAGACTCATTAGTGAGGCTAAAATCAAAAAAGTTAGAAAGGCCAAATAAAGTATGAAGTTGAAGAGCGTTGAGGACCCAAAAATTAAGAAAGGTTTTGCCAAATACAGACTACAACAAAGGACTAACAACACTATAAACAAAAGAAAATATAAGTGAAGATAAAGCAGTACACAAGAAACTGAAAATTGTCTTAAAGTCTCTTTAGAATTTGCAATTTTAAATTTTAAATAATTTCTCTACTGTCCTCTCTTGATGAACACACAAACACATACATGACATAGGCTTATATGTACTTCCACCAAACAGTTGACCTATATGTTAGTAGGTAAATAGTTTTACCTGTACACTTAAACCTGACATCTATAAGGTATGAATAAAAGGAGGCATTGGGTAAGACAGCAACAAAACAATGAAAAGTACTGTGAAGTCTGTGGATTCTTGAATATGTAGTTTTATTAATTTCTGTATTCAAGCTGATAGAAAACTTGTACTTTTCTAAACACTTTAATTCGTGGTTAACTCTCCCCCACAAAATCCATGAAAATGAGTACTCCTTGATAATAATGAACCCACAGTACCGAAGTAGCTAAAGATCTGGAGCACAGTATTTTGTGTATAGTCTCAGAGAGTGAGATTTCACAATGTATAGTCTATTGAAGAGCAAAGTCATGGAGTAATATCAATAGAATAAATCTTACATTTACTGTCATAATGAAGCACCACAATCACACTGAAGCATGCAAAAACTATACAAACATTTGGACAACCATATCTGTATGTTTCAGTCTGGAATTCAGGCCAAAAAAAAAAAATGATTTGGTTTCCTGCCACTGGACATTAAGAAGATGATCATCAATCAATCTTACCTCCCTGGCTAACCTAAATATTCATTCCTACCCTAACACATTTATTGGTAAGCACAGACATTTTTTGTTGAGCACCAATTTCCCTATATATAGAAGGTACATGTGAAATCTTCCCTATATTTACTTCCAGGAGGCTTGAAACAAATATACATTTTTTGGCCTCACTATCATCTGAGATAATTCATGCAATAGTAGATTATATTTTTTATGCCCCCACCATAGTGGAGGGGGGCATTAAGTTTTACCCTTGTCCGTCTGTATGTCCATCCGTACATCCCAAAATTGATTTCTGTTCTCTATAAACTTAAGTTTGCCTCAACCAAATAGTACAAATCTTATACACAATGCTTATTACAACAAAACACAAATCAAGTTTGAATTTTGGTGGCGTCACTTTTACTGTTCTAGAGTTATGCCCCTTGCTGAATTTATGTTTCCATTCTTTAACTTTAGTTTGCCTCAAACAAATGTTATGAAACTTATGCACAATGCTTATTACCACAAAACACAGATCAAGTGTGATTTTTGGTGGCGTCACTTTTACCATTCTAGAGTTATCTCCCTTTACAAATGGAAAAATTGCTGAATTTTTCATTCCGTTCTCAAACATGTCTTAACTTAAGTTTTCCTCAACCAAATGTTATGAAACTTATACACAATGCTTATTACCACAAAACTCAGATCAACTTCAAATTTGGGTAGCGTCACTTTTACCGTTCTTGAGTTATGTACCTTTATAACGTTATATGCAAGCGGGGGCATCATCTGTGTTCCATGGACACATTCCCCATTTATTTTAAATGAATGTTTAAGACATTTTATTAGTTCTTTTGAAGTTTTCAACTAGAATCATAAACACACTTCTCTGACAAATACTGACACAAATTGGCCACTACGGTTAAAATAATCTCAGCTATACAGTACATGATTCTTATTTTTTTTTTTTAGTTGGACAAAATGGGACCCGACAACATCTCCTCCAGCAGGGATCCAGATACATTGACACCTGAAGACATTACTAGTTTCTGGATTGGATTTGGATTAGCTTTCAGCTCTACTATTTTTATTGGAACTAGTTTCATCTTAAAGAAGTTGGGATTACGTAAACTTGCAAGTCAGGGAACCAGAGCAGGTAATAGTTATTTATAATAGTCCAAGTCAGGGAACCAGAGCAGGTAATAGTTATAGATACTAGTGTGAGTCAGGGAACCAGAGCAGGTAATAGTTATAAATAATAGTGCGAGTCAGGAAACCAGGGCATGTAATAGTTATAAATACTAGTGCGAGTCAGGGAACCAGGGCAGGTAATAGTTATAAATAATATAGAATTAAAATCTTATTGTCGAAGGTAAAAATAGATAGGATGTTGAAAAAATATTTTCGCTGAAATACAGGATGTATAATGTAACAAGATTGAAAAAAGAATCCTATTTTTGTAATTTTAATATCTTTATGTAATTGATTTGAAAAGAAAGGATTTGATTTATCACATAATTCTCAAAATCTTGTTTTCCCTGGTGGTCCTTGAAGAAAATCTGCTGGTCCTCACTATTATTTCTATTGCAAAATACCAAAATTGTGTCGGTCCTTACAAAATTTTGGTGGTCAAATCCTTCGGACCACCACTTTTCAAGAACTCTGTTATCAATTCATGGAGCTAAATCGCTACAAATCAGGAAAAAAAACAAAGGCAAAGGAAGTATTATTACAGTTCTTCATCTCAAAATCACAGTGAGGCCTTCACCATGGAGCAATACATCACATTCTAGATGGCTCCTATAGCACTGGTTTGAGACAAAGATGTTGTGGTAGAATGAAAGTTCTAGAAAAGGTTGATGTTTTTCTGACAAAAAATCAGTAATGGTTAAGCCATGTAGAATTAATATTTAGAATCATATTTTATTTTCTGGTAGTGGGTGAAAAAGGGGGGATTTCATGTTACAATATTGCTGATTTTCATTAAAGATGGTAAGAATTTTTTAAGAAATTTAATCTAAAATACTAAAATATGAATCTGAAACATATAACAAAAGGTATAAAAAAAAGATAATTTAAAGTTTAACATTATATGAGGGTCTGGATGGGTTTACAGAATAGAGAGTAATGAGCAAAAACACAGAAATAAAGGGCAGAAAAAATAAAGAAAAATGGCCTAAAAATTAAAGAATACAGAAATGAAGGACCCCCATCTAGACCCTCTTCTGTGGCCTTGGAAACAGTAAGGACAGATTTTATTTCAAATAAATTTTTTTTTAATTAACATGATTAAGTTAAAAATGAGAAAAGACATACTTTAAAAAAAATTAGCATAAAAGTCAATTTAACTGTTTAATATTTAATGATCAGCATTCTATATCAATATGTACATGAACCATATCATGCAGCCTTGTTCATTTTATACGCAGTCAAGACATTCTGTTGTTTTTATTGATTATAATTGAAACTGCTTTTATTTCAGAAACATGTTTAGATGTATAAAGGTGTTCCTTATGATATTGGTTCAATACGATATTGATTTATATACCTTGGTTTTATAATAATCTTTAAGAAGACGATTTTCAATGGCATGTCACATATTTTAAATTGTAATCTCATTGATCGTAAATTGGTGAAAAAATTACGTTGCAAATCTAATTGAAATTTCTGTTTGTTCTGGTAGCACTTTGTTTTATGAATTTATATCCAATTTATGATACTCATGATACTGTTAATTGTTAATTCATTTACATGTATTATCCTGAGTACTTATTTTCATGTGTTGGGGAAGTATTGTATTTTCATATGTTGGGGAAGTATTGTATTTTCATGTGTTGGGGAAGTATTGTATTTTCATTGATGCTTGATTTCATGGTTTTAACAAATTTGTATGTAATTACTTGGAAATTTTTATTTTGTGGAATGTTTTTAATTCATGGTTCACTTATACACGTGAAATAAACTAAAAGTTCAAGGTCACAGTACAGTTTGTGGACAAAAACTTCATACATTCATCAAAACCTTCAGGTTCAGCATGAGTATGAACAATCTTTTGTGCATTTTCCTTTTAGTATCACAACCATTTATTACATTCAATGATACACATGAAATAAACGAAAAGTTCAAGGTCACAGTACAGTTTGTGGACAAAAACTTCATACATTCATCAAAACCTTCAGGTTCAGTATGAGTATGAACAATCTTTTGTGCATTTTCCTTTTAGTATCACAACCATTTATTACATTCAATGGTCTGTCTTGTATTTTACAAATGAGGAGCCAAATGTCTTATATTTACAAAATGAGGGGCAACATTTCTTGTATTTACAAATGAGGGGCAACATTTCTTGTATTTACAAAATGAGGGGCAACATTTCTTGTATTTACAAAATGAGGGGCAATATTTTTTGTATTTTACTAATGAGGGGCAACATTTTTTCAAAAATAATACCTCTCCCTCCACAGTTTGTCCAGATTGTTGTAAAATTTTACCTCTCTCTCTACAGTTTGTCCAGATTGTTGTCAAATTTTCAAGAAAAAGTGACTTTACAAAATTGTTTTTACTTTCAGATCAAGGAGGTTATGGTTACCTCAAGGAATGGTTATGGTGGGCTGGAATGTCCCTCAGTAAGTATGATATAATATCTTTTATTTTTATCATTGCACACAAAACCTTTAAATTTTTATGCCCCCGCCGTAGCGGAGGGGGCATTAAGTTTACCCTTGTCCGTCTGTACGTCAAAAAATTGGTTTACGTTCTCTAACTTTAGTTTGCCTCAACCAAATGTTTGAATCTTATACACAATGCTTAAAATCACAAAACACAGATCAAGTTTGATTTTTTTCTCCAATTCTTACCCAATTAGATTTGGTATGGGTTTGCTAACTTTACATTTATTTATTGAAGCTATCTAACTTGACTAGATATAAGAAGATGTGGTATGAGTGCCAATGAGACAACTCTCCATCCAAGTTTCAATGTATAAAAAGTTAACAATTATAGGTCAAAATACAGCCTTCAACACGGAGCCTTGGCTCACACCAAACAGCAAGCTATAAAGGGCCCCACAATGACTAGTTTAAAACAATTCAAACAGGAAAACCATCGGTCTAATCTACTGTGGATTCATTATTATTGGTGGGATACCAATTTTTGTTGAATTCGTGGTTACAGGTGAACCACGAATTTAAATATTCAACGAAATACAAATTTTCTCTAGGCTTATATGCAGACCTTAATAAAACCACGAAATCAAATATTCACGAAAATACAAAGTTTCCTTAATCCACGAAAATTGGTACCCACGAAAATAAATGAGTCCACAGTATATAAAAAACAAGAAATGAGAAACACTTTAAAGGTTTACCGTAATTATTGATTTTGAACAAGTGTGTAAACTTTGCTTTGTATATTATTTCAGTGATATTGGGTGAGTTTGCAAACTTTGCTGCTTATGCCTTTGCTCCTGCCACTTTAGTCACACCACTTGGTGCTCTCAGTGTTATTGTAAGGTAAGTTGGATGACGACCATTCTAAAGTTGAAATATGAAATGTGTACAGAAATAGATTTTAAATGCACCATAAGGAAATGAAATCCTGAAACCATTTTTTTTGTCTGTAAATCAGTGTATTTTCAATCTTTAAGGAAGTTAAAATGACTGTTGTTAAAGTTTTGATAATCAGTTGATGAACTATTTTGTAATGTTGCTGGTCAAGGGGAAATAACTCAAAACTTTTTCAAAATTAGTTTTTGAAACTACTTGATCTTTAGTACTGAAAAAAAAAATATTTACTTCCAGAGGCAGCTACAAAATGTACCTGACAAAAACTGTCAATCAAAATTGAAATCTTGAGGTTAATTTTACAGTATTCAACAGTGGTAAAGAACTCCAAACAAATCACCACTGGACTTTAAACAGCCATCCACCATCATCAGCAACCTATTTGAGGCTCAATACCACCATAAATTATTGAACCTTACTTAAAAATGTGAAATTTTCCCTAATTATGTTACAAGATAAGATCACAAATAGTATCACCCATGTTAATTTGATCTGTAAAGAATATTTAAATTGAGGACAAGAAAAATGTAAAAATTTATCGCACAAGAAGTCTCACCATATTATTATATCTATTTCAGTTCTGTTTTATCTTCAATATTCCTCAGAGAAAAATTGAATATATTAGGTAAAATGGGCTGTGCACTGTGTGTGATCGGGTCTACTGTCATGGTTTTACACTCACCACAAGAACAGGAAGTTGCCAGTATGGACATTCTAAAAGAAAAAGTACAGGAACCAGGTAACCACAAAATATTAAATAAGAATATTTCATATGACCAACTTTTGAGTCCAAAGTTTAAATTTTTCGACAGATTGCCTACTTTTTGGTAGGACATTCTGGTACCAGGTCAAGTACCAGTAAGAGCATTAAAAGAAGTAAAATCAAGCTTTCATTTGGTACAATTTTGGGGAAATTTAACAGCTTGATATTTTCTTTACACAACAAATTATCGGAAAACAGTAAACTTTCTCCTCAAATTGCACCGATTATATGTTTGATTTTACTCATTTTTGTTGCTCTAATTGACCAGTACCAGGATGTCCTCTAAAAGAAAAGGTAACTTGAAAAATTTTATAATCTTGAGTCAAAAGTTGGTAATATGGCCTGAGAACACAGTTATTTCGTAGTGCATTTCTTTTAGACACGTAGTGTACTTATATTGGGACAAATAATATCAAAATTATAGAAACTTTTACCAGCTCTAACTCAAAATATGGACAATTCTGTGTTAAGATGTCTAAAATTCAGTTTGAAAGTTTCAGACATACTAATTTTTGACCTTTTTTAACTAGACCAAATTACTACTTAACATAAAGATTCAGCACAGAATTTTTTTTAACATGTAATTTCACCCCCTTACTTAATATTTCATGCATCAAATATCAAGAAATAAATTGGGAAAGTGTATGAAAAAAACTTGCAAGTTATACACTGTTTACACTAGGGACTATATTCGTAGACAAAGAAAACCAAAGGAGGATAACTGTGTCCTTGGACCATATGAAAAAAGTCTATTGATATAGTAGTCAGTTACCTACTGTGGATTCATTTATTTTCGTGGGTATCAATTTTCGTGGATAGAGAAAAAAAGACGTTTCGTGGTATACCTAAATTCGTGGATCGCTGATTACAAAAAAATAATAAAAATTCAGATACGTAATTCGTGGATTTTTTTTTTTCTTTTAGGAAATCATATAACCTCCTAGGTTTGATCAATAATAAAACAAACAAAAAAGCAGGAATTCATTGAAAAAGTTTTGAATTGTCAAAATCCTCGCTTGGTCATTCTAGGTTAAAAATTTCATTGAAAACTTCTATTACAATAATGGACAGAGACAACTAGTTATTTGTTTGTTTTACAATTTATAAATTCTTGTCGGAATTTTATAAGGCATTCAACACTCTATGATTGAAAGCTCATTTCCCTAATCACGATTTAATAAACAGTCATATAAGTAAAAGGTGTGAAAATAAATGTTCCTGTCATAAACAATATTACCTACGGTCAATATCCCAATACCTAATCCTATTGATTTTTAATCACCAGTAAACCAAACTATGACACGGTAATTAACAACTTGCAGTTATTTTCCATAAACAGTTTTAATCAATTTTAAAAAGTAAATTATCACTGATATTCGATATATTTATTATTGATTTAATCAAAATACTTGTATCTTCTTTCAATAAAAACACGTGTTATGTTACAATGTTTATCGCTAGTCAACACTATACTAGAACTGCATAACATAACCGGAAATAAACATCCGACTCCATACACATTTCTCAGGATTATTCTTCGTTGAATTATTAAATTCGTGGTTCGCTGTGACCCACGAAACCCACGAAAATTGGTATACCACGAATAAAAATGAATCCACAGTATCATAAAAATGAGAAAAAAAATCTAGTTGAAAAGATGGATTTATGTTTCAATTCATTACACAAATCAGTACATGCACATAAAATAAAAAAGCAAGGGAACAGCACTATTTATCTTAAAGTCACACAGTGAGGTCTTGAACATGCTATATTTATGCATTACAGTTGCAGTGTTATATCAACAATTTATCAGTTATGTTAAGTAAACAATATGTTCATAAAAGTTTCTCGTTTCTTGTTTTTTATATAGATTAGACCGTTGGTTTTCTCGTTTTAATGGTTTTACACTAGTAATTTTTGGGGCCCTTTATAGCTTTTTGTTCAGTGTGAGCCAAGGCTCTGTGTTGAAGACTGTACTTTGACCTATAATGGTTTACTTTTACAAATTGTGACTTTGATAGAGAGTTGTCTCATTGGCACTCATACCACATCTTCTTATATCTAGATACTGTCATAATTATTCACATTGTAAATTTTTTAAATAATTTTATTTTTGGCAAGTATGAATAAAAGGACATGTGGGGTATAGAGATTTGAGAACAACCCAATTGCAAACAATCTTATATTTATAAACTGTCCATATGCATATAAATAAATAATAGGTATATTTCAATGAGACAGTAATCAAACAACACAAGAAAATAAATAAATATGGAGGTCATCATACCATCTTAATTTTCAACGGACAGCACCACATGTTGAGATCTTAATTTACACAAGACAGCGGGGGATAAATAGTTTAATTGAATATTTTTACCATTAAGTATAATGTATTAACCTGTTGAAATGCCTTAAGAGAGGAGAAGGATACCAAAGGGACATTCAAACTCATAAGTCCAAAATAAACTGACAACGACATGGCTAAAAAAAGAAAAAGACAAATAGACAAATAATAGTTCACAAAACACAACATTGAAAATTAAAGACTTAGCAACACGAACACCACCAAAAACCGAGGTAGATCTCCGGTGCTTCAAAAGGGTAAGCAGGTAGAGTTGTCAATTGACTTTTGAATATTAAAGTGAATGCATGTCAAAAATTAGTTATCACAAAGATTTTTACAAAAAGCATGTCTGCAAAACATTGTGTGAACACAGTCTAAGTTATGTAAGTATTTGACATGTAAGTTTTTTTTTATTTTTCAGGGTTTGTAATATATGCTTTCCTGATGGTGGGAACTGCCATATTCTTTATGATATTTGTAGCGCCAAAGTATGGTAATCGAACAGTTCTAGTTTATATAACAATATGTTCTACTTTGGGATCATTCACTGTGATGGGATGTAAAGGAGTGGGCGTCGCCATACATCAAACTCTTCAAGGACAAAATCAGTTTACAAACTGGTTGACTTACGTCTTTCTTTCAGCTGTTATAATTTGTATACTAGTGCAGATGAACTTTTTGAACCGTGCACTAGATATTTATAATACTGCGGTAGTGACACCTATATATTATGTCTTTTTCACAACGTGTGTTATCGTGGCATCATTAGTTTTATATAAAGAATTTTTCTCAATGTCGACCAAAGATATATTTGGATTTATATGTGGGTTTTTGATAATATGTATGGGTATTTTTCAATTAAATGCTTTTAGAGATGTGAACATCTCTCTTAAAAACTTGCCAAAGGCGCACAGAGATGAATTACCAAAAGTCAGTTTGAATGGAGGGTTAATGAACCAGGAAAACACAGACGAACAAAGATTATTGGAAAGTGACTCAATAAGTGCCAAAGATTATCATGATGAGGATGATTCTCATCCAATTTGACAGGAAAACAAACAAGGGAGATAAAAAGGAAATAATCTGTATGTCTTTCATTTTTACATGTTCTCCAGTGAATGTTGGAGGAGAGAAATATATATACATATTTATATGACGCTGGCATGGGATATTAGAAGTTTTTCAAAATATAAATGTAACAATGATCATTACTAGGACAAGAATAGTTACATTTGGTGGAAAGGTTATACAATAGATAATTAGGTATCTTGTCTTTTCTTAATTCAATTTTAAGAATGCTATCTTTTTTTTCAAAAATAGATTTATCAATTTTTTTATGCAAAGTTTTTTATATTATTTTTTAAAAATTCAAGACGACTATTCTTGCTGAAAAGGTAAAAATAAAAAAATGTAATTTTGAAAGCTTTGAAAATACAAAACATTGTTAAAGGTGTTTACTATAAATATTTATTTAAAAAAAAATGTTTTTCATTGAATCCATATCAGATCTGCATAATGTACCACACTTTGTGTTCATTCAGAACTGAATGTTTACAGGGAAACACATTTAGTTTTACAAGTTATTAAGAAATTTACTGGTGCTCTTATTCAGTATTTAAGCTCATTTTATTCAGAAATCAAACATAATAGAAATTAAATCATGGCAGAATCAAAAATGTTGTTTGAAAATCCTGAAATAATTTGTGCCATTGATGTTATATAGCAGTTATTAAATTAAGGCATTTATATTTTTGTCCTTGATTTTATATTACACATACAGAATATAACAATGTCACAAATATATATGTCCTAGATGTTATTATATAGGTAATGATTTTCCTATCATAAATTTGTTTTCGTATTTCTTATTAATTGTTTACATTATTTTGTTAGATATAAAAAAGAAGATGTGGTATGATTGCCAATGTGACAATTCTCCACAAGAGACCAAATGACACAGAAATTAACAACTATAGGTCACCGTATGGCCTTCAACAATGAGCAAAGCCCACACCGCACAGTCAGCTATAAAAGGCCCCGAAATGACAATGTAAAACAATTCAAACAAGAAAACTTACGACCTAATTTATGTACAAAAAATGAACTAAAAACAAATATGTAACACATAAACAAACGACAACCACTGAATTACAGGCTCCTGACTTGGGACAGGCACATACATACAGCATGTGGCAGGGTTAAACATGTTAGCGGGATCCCAACCCTCCGTCTAACCTGGGACAGTGGTGTAACAGTACAACATAAGAACGAACTATAAAAATCAGTTGAAAGAGGCTTAACTCATCAGATGGATAAAAATACAAATACATGTCGTTTGTTGATGTGGTTCATAAGTGTTTCTCGTTTTTTATATAGATTAGACCGTTGGTTTTCCCGTTTGAATGGTTTTACACTAGTAATTTTTTGGGGCCTTTTATAGCTTACTGTTCGGTGTGAGCCAAGGCTCCGTGTTGAAGACCGTACTGTGACCTATAATGGTTTACTTTTATAAATTTTTACTTGGATGGAGAGTTGTCTCATTGGCACTCATACCACATCTTCTTATATCTAAATACTACAAATACAAGTGGACATGGCCAGAATATGCTTTTTAACGGGGTATTAATATTGTACAAGGGTCTTTATTTAAGGGTTCAACTGCAGGACAATTAGGAAAACTGTAAAATCGCATAATATATTAATGTTTTTTAAACCAGAAAATTTGACAATGAATATTGCACTTGTTATTAAAATTCTTATTTAAACTTCTACTTGCAATCTACATCCACAAATATAGATAAAGTTGGATAACATATCTTCTTAAAATCATAAGAGAAACCATGGAGTTTTGTGCAATACGATATATCACCATTCTCAACAGTTACGATTTTAAATATTTAAAACACTGGACAAGCCTCTCATTCAGTCTGGAGTGGAGAAATATTGTATCACACTTGATGCTGTGGAAGAATCTATATCTATTAGTCAGAGCTCAGATATAACATGTATAAACAAGTCTGTTTTTGTTTCTGACTTAAAGAAGTGTCAAATCTTGTATTTTGATAAAAATTTGTTAATAGTTTTTGACTTGTCTAAGTCAGAAAATGACAGACTTATTTAACAATGTTGTCCCAATTTCATGTAGATGCATGAACTTTTTATATTTTTTGTGCATTGGTCTTGAAGTTCACCAATTTTGGTAACTTTTCGACTTGAAGAAGTCATTAATCACAACAGTTTGAATAAGGTAAAATGTTTTCTGATTAACATTAATTGACTTGTTGGAGTCTTATTTTTTTTTCTAATAAAGGGAGCGAACGCATGAAACATGCAAATTTAGACCTCTACAAGTCAAAAGCAAAATAAGACTTATTTATGTCTGAGCTCTGACTGTTTATAAGAAACTGGTACATGATATTTGGTTTTTGTTTTAGTTCTGATTAACTGCTTTAATATAAGGTGCCCACTAGAATTCCATAGAGATTAGACAAGGAACAAAGTTGTCTTCTCCTTCTAAACGACGAAAAATTGTAATGAAAAAACAAATGATCTCCAGTACAATTTTTTGGACAATTTTTATCATGTACTTTGTTCATTTCAACTATTTTCATTCAGAATGCCCAAAAAGTCGTTGGTGACTCCTTGTTCTGGTACATGGATATGTAACATGTGTAATGTGTATTTCTGTTTGTTATACATGTATAATATGATGATAATATAGAAGAAGGGTTTTTGATAGTTTATAAATGAAAACCAGTTTTTTTTTTAATTTTTGATTGAGGGATATTTTTCATCAATAGTTTTATATTATATTACTTCATTGCACCTGTTATCTGTATTTTGAGAATTTCACACTAGGGGGTTTGGTTAAAAGTCATTCATGCTGGTGTTGAGTACATGTAGTACACAAAGTAATTTCATATGAAAAGCTTTTTCTATTACTTAGAACACAAATTATGCAAATTTTGGCATTTTTTATGAACTTGATTTTGCAATTGCAATTACAATTTTTGATCATGTTAATACATTCATTGAATTGATAAAAAAAAATATCAAAGTGTTGTAACATTCAACCATTAGAACTATTGAATCATATATCTCTCAAATTTAAAATATCATTATTGTTTACAAAGTAATTGAAATTTGGGGCCAAATATGGACATTTTCCTACGTGTGCATTTTCTAAAAGTTTCATTCAAGAAAAATTAATTAACACAATTGCAAAAATATAAAATTGTTATTTTGGCAATTCCTGTCATAACAAAGGTTGTGGCTCTTAAAGGGGCATTAGCTACGAGATATAAATAAAAATTAAGATATGATTTTTTTTTGTTCAACCGTTAATGAAAGTGAAATAATAATTCGCATTTAGCAGCCAGTTTAGTTCAATTTTAGTCAAAATAAGCTAAGAACATCGCTGATGAATATTCACTTGCAAGTGAATAATTTGACCTCATTGAATCCGTATTCATGTGACCTTCAATTTAACCTAATAGCTACAGATTGCTTACGCATGTATAAATTGTGTTCAGCCATTAAAAGGAAAAGAATGTCAACATTGAAAGTGAAACAAATTGTTTATTTAAGACTTAATGTAATTTGGATATACGTTTTAGTATGTTATAAATCAAATATGAGAATTTGAGTTAAATCGGTGAACATGAATTTGACAGCTAATGCCCCTTTAATACACTTTCATTAGCTAATCCAGAGATGATTCCTACCTTTTTCAGATTTTTTTATCTAATCATGAAAAGTAAAGAAAATTAAGCTGGACAACTTGTTTTAAATGTGGAATCCCAAATAATCATTCATTTCAAAAATTTAATTTTGATGTGTGATTATTGCCTACCGGTTAATGTTAGTTACTTAGTACATTAAACAAGCCAATATTTAAATGAAAGATTGATAATATACAACGATAAAGTTTGTAATGGTAGATTGACAATATTTGTTATTCATTTCAGATTTATATTGTTAAGTTTTTGTCTATGTAAATGTGATGTTTTGTAAATAAAAAATGTAATATTTTTTATAAACTTTTTTTTTTTTAGTGAAAAAAATACCTGACTGTATGAAATATTTTCAAAAAATGGTTGAAAGTTCAAAAGGTATGTCATTCCTTTTTGACAGTGGTCTTGTCTGATTACTTCCCTTTGGTAGATAAAAATGGTTGAAAGTTCAAAAAGTATGTCATCCTCTTTGACCATGGTCTTGTCTGATTACCTCCCTTTGGTAGGTAAAAATGTTTGAAATTTCAAAAAGTATGTCATCCTCTTTGACAGTGATCTTGATAAAAACACATATTCTTTCAACCCAACCATACACCAAAACACTTGGGTATACATCAAGTGATAGATATTAAAAGATACAAGATTACACACACTTTGTACTTTTAACATTATATGCATTGTTTCTTGAATTGATTTTTTGTCGCAGAAAGCTCGACATAGGGATAGTGATCCGGTGGCATTAACTAACTTCTTAAAAGCTTTATATTTTAGAAGGTTGAAGACCTGGATTCATCATACTTTGTATATAGATGCCTTATATTACGAAGTTTCCGTCTGTCACATGTCCTATATTGTCCTTGACCTCATTTTCATGGTTAAGTGACTACTTGAAAAAAAAATTAAGATTTTTTATAATGTTAATTTCTCTCTTATTAAGAGTAATAAGATAACTATATTTGGTTTGTGTGTACCTTGCAAGGTCATCATGCCCATCAGACAGTTTTCACTTGACCTCGTTCTCATTCATGGATCAGTGAACAAGGTTAAGATTTGGTTGTCAAGTCCATATCTCAGATACTATAAGCAATAGGTGTAGTATATTTTGTGTATAGAGGGATTGCAAGATGTACATGTCCAATTGGCAGGTGTCAGCTGACCTTTACCTCATTTTCATGGTTCAGTGGTTATAGTTAAGTTTTTGTGTTTTGGTCTGTTTTTTCTTGTACTGTATGCAATAGGTCTACTATATTTGGTGTATGGAATGATTGTAAGGTGTACATGTCCAACTGACAGCTGTCATCTGACCATGACCCCATTTTCATGGTTCAGTGGTTAAAGTTAAGGTTTTGAGTTTTGGTCCTATTTTTTTTCTAATACTATATGCAATAGGTCAACTATATTTGGTGTATGGAAATATTTTATCATGTACAAGTCAGTCTCGCAGGCTTTTATTTGACCTTGACCTCATTTTCACGGTTCATTGCTCCGTGTTAAGTTTTAGTGTTTTTGGTCTGTTTTTATACGACCGCAAAAATTGAAAATTTTTTGGTCGTATATTGGTATGACGTTGGCGTCGTCGTCGTCGTCGTCGTCGTCGTCGTCGTCGTCGTCGTCTGGCGTCGTCCGGCGTCGTCCGAAGACACATTGGTTTTCGCACTCTAACTTTAGTTAAAGTGAATGGATCTCCATGAAATTTAACCATAAGGTTCAATACCACAAAAGGAAGGTGGGGATTGATTTTGGGGGTTATGGTACCAACAGTTAAGGAATTAGGGGCCAAAAAGGGGCCAAAAATAAGCATTTTTGTAACTTCCAGACAATAACTTGTGTGTAAGTGTATGGATCTCTCTGACATTGTACCACAAGGTTCCATATCACAAAGGGAAGGCTGTAATTGATTTTGGGGGTAATTGCCTCAAAATTTTAGGAATTAGGGGCCAAAAAAGGGGCAAAAAACAAGCATTTTTCTAGTTTCATGACAATAACTTGTGTGTAAGTGATTGGATATTTCTGAAATTGTACTACAAGGTTCCATATCACAAAGGGAAAGCTGGAATTGAGTTTGGGGGTAATTGCCCGAAACGTTTAGGAATTGGGGGCCAAAAAGGGGCCAAAAATAAGCATTTTTCTAGTTTCCAGACAATAACTTGTGTTCAAGTGTATGGATCTCTCTGAAATTGTACTGCAAGGTACCATACCACAAAGGGAAGGCTGGGATTGAGTTTGAGGGTGATGAATCATAAGGGGGTTCAAAAAATTTGGGGGGGGGGATTTTTTTTTTTCTTTTTTTTTCTTTTTTTCCTTTTTTTTTTCTTTTAAAATTTTCCATTTTAAGTTGGTTATTTCTGATTAATATTTAAAAGCAAATAATAATGATATGGTAGGAGATACACACCAAACAGGATGTGTAAATTATTATATAATAAGTATTGTGCAATAGCAAGAAATTTTCAATTGCACAGTATTGCACAATAGCAAGAAATCTTCAATTGCACAGTATTGCGCAATAGCAAGAAATCTTCAATTGCACAGTATTGCCCAATAGCAAGAAATATCCAATAGCACAATATTGCGCAATAGCAAGAAATTGTCAATTGTACAGTATTGCACAATAGCAAGAAATATTCAATTGCACAGTATTGTGCAAAAGAAGATACTTCGTATAAATTGCTTATTTCTTGATCAATTTCAATGGGGTTTTATTCTTGAATTCTTGGGGTTCTTTAATATGCTGAATCTAACCGTGTATTAAGTTTTTGGATTTTGGGCCCCGTTTTTAAATTGGTCCACATTGAGGTCCAAAGGGTCCAAAATTTAACTTTGTTTGATATCATCAAAAATTGAATTATTGGGGTTCTTTGATATGCCGAATCTAACCGTGTATTTAGATTCTTAATTTTTGGTTCCGTTTTCAAATTGGTCTACATTAAGGTCAAAAGGGTCCAAAATTAAACTTAGTTTGATTTTAACAAAAATTGAATTTTTAGGGTTCTTTGATATGCTGAATCTAAACATGTATTTAGATTTTTGATTATGGGCCCAGTTTTCAAGTTGGTCCAAATCGGGGTCCAAAATTAAACTTTGTTTGATTTCAACAAAAATTGAATATATGGGGTTCTTTGATATGCTGAATCTAACCATGTATTTAGATTTTTGATTTTTGGGCCCCGTTATCAACTTTGTCCACATTGAGGTCAAAAGGGTCCAAAATTAAACTTTGTTTGATTTCATCAAAAATTGAATTCTTGGGGTTCTTTGATATGCTGAATTTAACCATGTATTTAGATTTTTTATTTGTGGACCCGCTATCAAATTGGTTCATATTGAGGTCAAAAGGGTCCAAAATTAAACTTTGTTTGATTTCATCAAAAATTGAATTATTGGGGTTCTTTGATATGCCAAATCTAACCGTGTATTTAGATTTTTAATTTTGGGTCCCGTTTTTAAATTGGTCTACATTAAGGTCCAAAGGGTCCAAAATTAAACTTAGTTTGATTTTAACAAAAATTGAATTCTTGGGGTTCTTTGATATGCTGAATCTAAACATGTGTTTAGATTTTTGATTATGGGCCCAGTTTTCAAGTTGGTCCAAGTTGGGGTCCAAAATTAAACTTTGTTTGATTTCAACAAAAATTGAATATATGGGGTTCTTTGATATGCTGAATCTAAACATGTATTTAGATTTTAGATTTTTGGCCCAGTTTTCAAGTTGGTCCAAATTGGGGTCCAAAATTAAACTTTGTTTGATTTCAACAAAAATTGAATATATGGGGTTCTTTGATATGCTGAATCTTACAATGTATTTAGATTTTTTATTTGTGGGCCCGCTTATCAAATTGGTTCATATTGAGGTCAAAAGGGTCCAAAATTAAACTTTGTTTGATTTCATCAAAAATTTAATTATTGGGGTTCTTTGATATGCCAAATCTAACCGTGTATTTAGATTTTTAATTTTGGGTCCCGTTTTTTAAATTGGTCTACATTAAGGTCCAAAGGGTCCAAAATTAAACTTAGTTTGATTTTAACAAAAATTGAATTTTTGGGGTTCTTTGATATGCTGAATCTAAACATGTGTTTAGATTTTTGATTATGGGACCAGTTTTCAAGTTGGTCCAAGTTGGGGTCCAAAATTAAACTTTGTTTGATTTCAACAAAAATTGAATATATGGGGTTCTTTGATATGCTGAATCTAAACATGTATTTAGATTTTAGATTTTTGGCCCAGTTTTCAAGTTGGTCCAAATTGGGGTCCAAAATTAAACTTTGTTTGATTTCAACAAAAATTGAATATATGGGGTTCTTTGATATGCTGAATCTTACCATGTATTTAGATTTTTTATTTTGTGGGCCTGCTATCAAATTGGTTCATATTGAGGTCAAAAGGGTCCAAAATTAAACTTTGTTTGATTTCATCAAAAATTGAATTATTGGGGTTCTTTGATATGCCAAATCTAACCGTGTTTTTAGATTTTTAATTTTGGGTCCCGTTTTTTAAATTGGTCTACATTAAGGTCCAAAGGGTCCAAAATTAAACTTAGTTTGATTTTAACAAAAATTGAATTCTTGGGGTACTTTGGTATGCTGAATCTAAACATGTGTTTAGATTTTTGATTATGGGACCAGTTTTCAAGTTTGTCCAAGTTGGGGTCCAAAATTAAACTTTGTTTGATTTCAACAAAAATTGAATATATGGGGTTCTTTGATATGCTGAATCTAACCATGTATTTTGATTTTGGACATTGGACCATAATAGGTAAATTAAAAAAATTGAAGTTCTTAGACCACATTCTTTCTGTGTCAGAAACCTATGCTGTGTCAAATATTTAATCACAATCCAAATTCAGAGCTGTATCAAGCTTGAATGTTGTGTCCATACTTGCCCCAACTGTTCAGGGTTCGACCTCTGCGGTCGTATCAAGCTGCGCCCAGCGAAGCATTTTATTCTTAAACTATAAGCAATATGTCAACTATATTTGTTGTATGGAAGGATTGTAAGCTGCATATGTCTGTCTGGCAGGTATCATCTAGTAACTTTTGGGGCCCTTTATAGCTTGCTGTTCGGTGTGAGCCAAGGCTCCGTGTTGAAGACCTTACTTTGACCTATAATGGTTTACTTTTATAAATTTTGACTTGGATGGAGTTGTCTCATTGGCACTCATACCACATTTTGTTATATCTATATATGTAATGCATAGATTGATTGTAAGGTGCACTTGTCTGCCTGGCATGGTTCATCTGACCTTGACCTCATTTTCATGGTTCATTAATCAATGTTTAGTTTTCTTTGTTAAGTCTGTT